GTTGATATCATGATGGTGGAGGAGATGTTAATCTTTCCCTTGACAGATGGTCTTCTTGAGTCTGACCGTTTATGACCGGTTTCACAGCTGCAGTCGTGGGGCTGCGCAAGTTGTACCTGCAATCACTGATACTGTGCTCTGTTGCGTGCAGATCTTTTGCCGTCCCTACCCGTACGGGCGCCCTGCACCTCCGCACATCGCCGTGTCGCTTCTCTAAGTACAGCGACTGCCGTGTCATCACGAGGCTGCAATCGCTGTTCTCAGACTGAGGCCGTAACCGCACATTGAAGTCTGATCGGTACAAGTTCAACTTTATCGTCCCACGTCCCTCCCGCGTTGGCAACATCGCATCGCCGGGATGTCACCGGCAAGTTGGCAGTTCCGTCATTATTAATATGTTTTCATCTTGGGGTGGTCCAATTTCACAACCCGGCTCTTAAGACAGAACATGACGCGAAGGCAGGTCAATACCTCCCATTTCTCAGCGTAATTCGAATGGAGACGCTGCAACTCGACAGGATGAATATATCCACGCCACAGGGGAACACTAGCACCACTTGGGTCTCTCCGCCGTTCTATGGTTCCATGGCCATTCCAGAGCTCTATGCCTTCCACGCGGAAAAGAGTCCTACACACCCGATCTTTTCCTACGACGATGAGCGCGGCGAACCCCGGGAGCTGAACTACATGCAGGTGTTCTCAGCGATCCGAATGGCAGCTAGCTACGTGTCTCGCCACATCTCTCGGTCTGTGAAGGCTTCGCGGGAGGGCACGGGGGATTACGTCCTGGGTGTCCTGGCCGCCGCAGGTCAGTACAAGTGTCGTCAGTGATGTCGTCTTGAACTCATCCATAGCTCCAGATCACATCACACTGTTGACTCTGTACGTCGGGATGATGTACATTGGCCACAGCGTGTTTCCTCTGTCCGTCAGGAACTCGGCCGTGGCGGTTGCACATCTGGCGCGCCGCACGGCACTTCAATACATTTTCGTGAGCCATGACCCCGCGATGCAACGTCTTGCGCATGAGGCAAAGGAGATCCTTGCCAAGGAAGGCTATGAAATCGACCTCTTGCCTCTGCCCGAGTTCCGCGACCTATACAACGACAGCCATGATGGCCTCGATATCGCGATGGCCTCCCAGAGCGAAGAAAGGACCTGTCTTATCCTGCACTCTTCCGGTATGTATCCGTTTGACAAAGGTTTATTTGCTGTACGGGGTGGGCCGTATTGAGTGTTGCTACAGGATCCACTTCATTCCCGAAACCAGTGCCATTCTCACACCGCCATTTCACCAGATGGGGCTTTCATTCGAGTATGCATGACATCTTTCCGAGCAACCGTAGGTCCTGACAATTTTGTAGGTTTCGGCGACTACGATCTTTGCGGATCCCATCTCTCTATGCATAGCTTGCCGTTATTTCGTAGGTCTCTCTATCACACTGCGACGGAAATGACGGCCAAAGGCTCAACGACATTGCTCGTGACACAGACATCATGGGTTGTGTCAGCCTGACATGGGCTGTACGTCTGCTCATTCTTGATGCAATAGGTCGCCGTGACTAACGTTCATCCAGGTATGCACAGGGGTTGTCATATCGTTATTCCGCCCTTCGTCGCCACCTATCACCGCTACGCCCGACACCGTGCTACAAGCGATGGTCGCTACGAAGTGTGAATTCATTGTATGCGTTCCTTCGATTCTGGAGGTAAATCATGAATCGAATGCAGCACTATTTTGGATCGCTGGGGGCTGAACCTCGCTGTGTGGCAGGCTTGGTCTCGTAACCCGGAGGCTACCGAGGTTCTCAAGAAGCTCAAGTGCATTGTGAGTCGCTGATATCAATTCTTGGCAGCCGTCCGCTGAACATGAGGTGCAGGTCCAGGGCGGGGCGGGGCTTAACAAGGAAATCGGTGACAAGCTCGTTGATCAGGGGATCAATGTCGTGACTGGCTATGGCGCGTACGTCTGACTCACCTTCGTGTACACCCGCTAATGTCTCTATTCTAACAATTCAAATATCTAGGACCGAGATTGGATCTGTTGTTAGGCTCATGTTGGATCCGACAAAGCGTCCTCAGGGTGACTGGGAGTACTTCTCGCTATCCCCTCCCGTTGAGTTCATCCGTGTCTATCAAGACGGCCTCCCTCGCATATTCGAGCTAGTTGTGGTGGTTAGTCTGACTGTCACGGTGCCATCCATTCATGACCAATGGGCTGATATGTGCGGCTACTTGTAGGACTCTGCTACCTGGTCTCCGAACGTTTTCAATACAATCATAGACGGACGACCTGCGTACGCTACGAGAGATCTGCTAGAAGAACACCCCACCGATCTCAACCTGTACAAGGTATATGGGCGCGTTGACGACCAGATTGCGTTGTCCACCGGGGAGAAGGCAAGTTACTCTACTGCTTCAATATGGGTCTCGGTGGTATCTAATATATTCCATATCGTCGCATCAGACGAATCCTGTGCCGTTGGGTAAGTGCCGTCTCGATTCACCCCACTCCTTTCCTCATAGTCTTACACCGTCAACCACACCGTAGAGGCTATCGTTCTGCAGGACCCCCACGTCCACGCCGCCATCATGTTCGGCCAAGGTCGAGAACAGAATGGCATACTGATTCAGCCGCGGGAGCCGTTCGATCCCCGTGACGCAGAGAAGCTGGAGGAATTCCGCAACACGATCTGGTCTGTAAGGCGTATTGGGCATTTGTGAATCAGCTGTTGACACCACCGCGCAGGCCTACCATAGAGCGCGTCAACAGCTTCGCGCCATCGCACTCACGGATCTTCAAGGAGGTCAGCCATGGCCCGTCTGGCGTCCTCTATATTCCGCGGCATGCTGACTTTCAGCCGAACATCTCTCAGATGATCACAGTCACCAATCCAGACAAGCTGTTCCAGTACACCGCCAAGGGAACGCCTCGCCGTCATGTGTCTCTAGCTGAATATGCTCAGGAAATCGATGAGCTCTACAGGAGGGTCGAGGAGTCCTCCCAGGTTGACATTCCGCCCCCGAGTGCTTGGGAGGGCGAGGCGCTGTTGCAGTATGTCAGAGAGGTTGTGAAGAGGGTCCTGAAGGCCACTCAGATCTGCGACAATGACGACCTGTTCCAGCAAGGATGCGACAGGTCTGTACTGCTCACTCAACGTTAGAACATGGTCTGACTTGCATCATGACAGCCTGCAAGCGACTTGGATCCGCAACACTATCCTGAATGCAGTGCGAAAGACGACGATGCTATCCACTCACAACATCCCACTGAGCTTTGTTTACGCCAACCCGACTATCGCCGCTCTAAGCGCCTACCTCACTGGACTCGTCTCCGGCAAGGTAATCGACCAGAGGGTGCAATACGCCAAGCGTCTCGAAGAGATGAAGGAACTGGTCGCCAAGTACATGAAGGACTGGCCGGCGCCGCAGTGGAAGACGGCCACCGACGGACAGGCGAAGCCCACGTCTTCCGGAGAAATCATTGTGCTCACCGGTTCCACTGGTCGTGTCGGGTCTCACCTTCTCTCCCAGATGCTGCTGAAGCCGGAAGTTGTGCGCGTGTACGCGCTGAACCGAGAGTCTACCGGTGATGCGGTGAAGCTTGCCGACAGACAGCGGAAGGCGTTTGCGATGTGGGGATTGAAACCGGAGCTGCTTTCTAGCGACAAAGTCTCGCTCCTTCCGACTGACCTGAAGAAGCCAAACTTCGGATTGAGTGAGGAAACATATACAGAGGTATGTGAAGTTCTACAATGCTTCCCCGTCGACCAATCTCATAGCCAACTGCAGATCCAACGCTCTGTGACCGGGATACTGCACAATGGTGACCATCTTGCCCCTACCACGCACACTGCAACATTTCACTCATGTTCTCATAGCGTGGAGGGTAGACTTCAACGTCACTCTTCCATCGTACGAACCCTTGATCGCGGGTACAAGAAACCTGCTCGACTTTGCGCTGAACTCGCCGCGTCCTGGCGGGCCAGCTGTGCTATTCGTGAGCTCCATCGCATCGATGTCCAGTACGTGATCTTCTTCTTTCAGTCTCGCAGCAGGTCGAGAGGGTGACTTTTCATGAGACTACTCTTCCGATGTGCCCGTTCCCGAGGTCCTCGATATGGGCCCCGAGCTCGCCGTAGGGACTGGCTATGGGGAGAGCAAGTGGGTCGCTGAACAGATATGCCACCGCGCCGCGCAGGATACCGGCGTGAACGCCATCGTCGTGCGTGTCGGCCAGCTCTGCGGGGATACCAAGGCCGGGGGCTGGAGCACGTCCGAGTGGGTGCCTGCGATCGTCCGCGCCAGTAAGCTCCTGGGCTGCCTCCCGGCAACTGACGATGTGAGTGCCCTCGCGCTCGGAGTCGTCCACGTCCTCGAGCTCTCTCCTGATACTCCCCTTAGACGCTGTCATGGGTGCCGGTCGACGTCGCTGCGACGACTCTCCTCGAGTTCCTTCACACTGCCAGCAGCGAGCCCGTCCTCCATCTCGCCTCTCCCCGGCCTGCTGCCTGGCGGGACGTCTTCAGCGTCCTTGCAGACGAGCTCGGCGTCCCGCTCGTGCCGGCATCCGAATGGCTCGACAAGCTGCGCAAGTCCGCCCAGGACGCCACTATCAACCCTGCCAACGCTCCCGGGGACGCGCACTTCTCCGCGCACAACCTCGTGCCGTTCTTCGAGGCGGCGCTGGCGAGGAAGGAGGTCAAGCTGGGCACCGAGCGCGCTGTGCAGGTCTCCTCGACGCTGGCGAGTATGAGGCCTGTGAGCGGGGAGGATGCGAAGGGATGGGTGCGGTTCTGGCGCGGCGTCGGGTTCCTGTAAACATTGTCTCCTTGGAGACTCAAGTTGTAAGCGGTACGAATGTCACTTGGGTTGATAGATATCTATTCTGGCCGATCAGACTTTGATATGGGTCAGTAAAGGAACGTCGCCCAAGGATTGAACGGGTCCGACAACTTGTGTTGAGTACGCAAAAAGGATATTCGCTCGACATGGCTCTACGACACCAGTAGGGTTCGAACCTACGCTCCCAGAGGGAAACAGATTATTCGCACCGTGCGGTTCTAATCTGTCGCCTTAACCACTTGGCTATAGTGTCGGCGGGTCGGGGTCCCTTTTTGAGCAAATGGCTACGGTGATGATGAAGAGAAATGATTGGGAAGCTCGGGCCTGCTGGCAGTCCATGGAGGTAGGAACGAGAGAACAGTACATCTAAACTATGACATACATCGATAGATGGTGCTGGTGCTGATACAACAGTGCCTTCAAGCCTTGAGGAGCTGGTCCTGCATACTGTAAACCTTCCGCACAGCTTCGCGATCCAAGAGCGCATTGTGCCACCTAGCGCAATGTATCCATTCGCATGGTCAGTTACGGGAATTGGGTCACGGCGGTGGAGAGCATGAATCACGCACTTGTTCAGCGCAGGGAAGTCCTTCTCCAGTCCGTGGAACTCGCTGCAATCATTCAGCAGGAAGACGACCGCAGCCTTGTTCCACCTATCACGCGGCATCAGCACTCCCCCATCAATCCCACAACCAACGGGATCCGTGCCACAGGACTTACGGGATGAAGCTCAAGTCCGCGACGGTGCACTTGTCCCCGACGAGCCATGCGCGCTGCGCGAGCACGCTCTCGAGCACGCCGAAGACCCGGAGGATCTCCTTCTGGTAGCGCGCGATTGCGCTCGGGACGGGCTCGCCGTGGTAGATCTTGAACCACCCCGCCTGGCCGAAGTACGGGCTGCGTCGTCGGGCCGCGCGTCAGCACCGGATCAGCACGGGTTTGGGGAAAGTAGAGGGCTTACCCTTGTCCGGAGGCTTGGAAGAAGAGCCATTGCAGTTGGTGCATCTTTCCCTCGAAGTCCTTGACGGAGACTTTACCCTGTGGGTCGTACTTCTCGACGAGGTACGTGATGATCGCGTTCGACTCCCTGTGTCCCCGGTCAGTCGACAGCTCCATAGTCCGTCGGGGACGGACATACCAGAGCACAAAGTCGTTGTTGCGGTGGTCGATGAGCGTCGGGACGCGCCCGTTCGGGTTCAGCGCGGTGTGCTCGGGCGACTTGTGCTCGCCCTTTTGGAAGTCGAGGTAGATGGTGGTGTACGTGAGGCCGAGCTCTTCGAGCACCATCGCGACTTTCCTGCATGCCCAGAATCAGCGTATGCTTTGCACTGGAGGTGGAAGCGGTTGTGAGGCGTTTGAGCCAGACGGGTGCGTACCATCCGTTGGGCCCGGTCTTGTGGGAGTAGAGCGTGAAGTGGGGTTGGGACATGGTGGGTTATCTCTCGATTGGATGAGCGTCCGTGAATTGTTGAGTGTGTGAGTGCTCGTCGGAGACATGCGCCTCTTCTTATGTACCCATCCTGAGCACATGTATAGTCCGTGACGCGCACGGCCCCTCCTAGATCGTACCAGTCGGCAAAACTCGAAGGCTGGTCATCCGCAGGTACAAGCGGTTGCAGCCCGCGCCAAGCTGCCCAAGCAGGATACTCGTCGTCGCGATACGCACTCCAGTACGCCGCCGCAACGACGCGCGTCCGCGGCAGCACCCGTCCATCCGTCCTCATGCGAACGCGCGGCCGCGTAGAACTTGCAAACGACACACGACACAGCCACAACGCACCTCCTGGACGGCCGTACCTTCCGTGCGGCGGCAGTACGCGAATGCCCTGCCTCGCATTGGCGTACTGGCCACGGGAACGACTCCGGGTGGTGGGCCGTGGAGGAGCGTCGAGGGTAGATTCCCGATGGAGCGGTGTCTGCGATGGACGGTCGGACGGAGTATGCGCTGCAATTACCGGGATCGGGAAATGCGCACGAGGGGAGCGTTGTTTGAATCCTGCGCCGGGTGATGTATGGAGTACTGTATGTACCGTACACCACCGCTACGGGGCAGCGTCAGCGTGCTGACGGAGTTTTAGCTGGCTAGTTGGGCTGTAGCGGTTGTCAGACTCACCTCTCTCGAGTCTCCGGTTCGTGTATACGTAGGATCTGCGGACGCGCGTCCCATAGCCAAGCGCCGGGCAGGGCACGCTTTGAGGAAAATGAATCCAAGGATCCGGAGACCAGAAGTACCCTTCTCATGGAGTTTGGAAGTGGCGCATTGAACTGGATGGCTGGTGCACGGAAATAGGGCGGGCACTGGCAGTAGTACGAGGTGATAGATTCTACTGTACGTTCCAAGTTGCGGAGCGCGCCATCATGAGCGTTTAAACGTTCAAGAGCCTCGTGCTCAGCGGGTTGCGCATTCCCTTCACCCCACCTCTCACCTATGTTGTCTGCTCGGACACTCGGATTCATGATCGCACCACTGTCCCTAACCAAAAAGGGATCCATTCACGGAGCATTACGACACCAGTAGGGTTCGAACCTACGCTCCCAGAGGGAAACAGATAATCCGCAAAGCGATTCTAATCTGTCGCCTTAACCACTTGGCTATAGTGTCTTGACAAAGTGGTGGAAATGTGTTTTCCCGTGGACAGTTGCAGAGGACGGTAACCATACGAGGGTGAGTACATGCTTGCAGACCGGCGACCAAGTAAGTCTTGTACGGTGAGCCGGGTCAGCACTCGAGCGCTGAGCTCACGCGGGGAGACTGACTGAGAAGGAAAGGGACGAGCAGGCGATGGCGGCCGGTGGCGGAGAACATGATGCCTGTCGAACGGCAAGGGAGGGTAGACGCGCGTGCCACGATGACGCGCTGTCAGGGAAAGGCAATTTGACACAGCCACCAGTCTGTAGTTCGCCGCGGCTTCTCAGTCTCGTTCGTCTGTCTGCGCGTCGCTCCGGGTCGTCGTCGTCCGCTGTGCGGTGGCGTAGGAGAATGCGATGTATGGCTTGTGTTGGCACAGGAGGACCTTTGGGAGACGTGCTTGGGAGAGAGGGGGAGGTGGAAGGGACGGAGGACGTGGAAGGAAGGGAGGAGGGTGTCAAGTGAGGAAGCGAGCTGAGCCGGGGGCAATAATGGCCGAGAGAGGGCAGGAGGATGCCTGTCTTTGGCGTGGCTAGTTCATCGATTGCCAGTCTCAGGCCTCAGCTGCCCGCCGTCGAGTCCCGCCACTGCTCAGAGCTCCTTTCCCCGCAACGTCCCGCCGCCCCGTCCGAGTCCTCCTCGAGTCTCCCCATGTCTCCTCTCTCTCCCGTCCCTCCCTCCCTCCCTCCCTCTCCCGTCCCTTTCTTCTCTCAACCCCCACTCCCACCCTCTTTCCCGCCCTTGCCTCCCGTCCTCTCGCGCACGTCGTGAGGCATGCTCGCCCCAAACGTCGGTCCCACCTATGGCGCCCTCTTCATCGGCGTCCTCTTCTCCGCAGTGTACGCATCCCGATCGCCCCCGCTGCTGATCGACCGAGCGTGCTAATGACGCGCACACACAGCCTCTTCGGCGTGACCATGCTCCAAGCCTTCGTCTACTTCCAGCAGTACCCCTCAGACAGGGCCTGGAGGAAGCTCGCCGTCTCTTGGCTCTGGTGCGCTCCGAACTCCCTCTTGTTTCAAGCGCGTTGATCTCAGGCACGCCCGACGCGCAGGTTCCTGGACGCCCTCCATCTCGCCCTCAGCGCCCACTTTGTCTATCATTACCTCGTCTCTAATCACGCCAACCCCGCCGCTCTTTCCCAGATCGTTTGGAGCTTCAAGGTGCGCTGGTCGCCGTCTTTTCTGTCACTGTCATGCTGAACGTATTTCCCCTACAGTTCCGTGTTGTAATCGACGTGCGTGTACCTTTCTCCGCCTTTCCTCTGTCATCATCCTCACAGGCCACAGGCACTCGTTGTCTGCTCAGTACATACGTGAGTGCTTGACCTTCTTCTTCAGACTCGATCGCGTCCACGGCCATCGACTCCGCGGACGTATGCATAGCCCCTGGTATGGGTTTGAGTCCTTCCAGTCGTGAGGCAGCTATGACGTTGACTTTGACTTTCTCTCATGAGAGCGCCGTCCTGCTCACAGCGAGTGTGGTGAGGGCGTCAGGCGGACATCGCAGGAATGGGCGGTATTCTCGTTACCTGCCATTCCCGAGCGCAACTCGGCATACGTCGGCCCGGGATCGTTTCTAGGGATTCGAATATCATGGGTAGCAGGTAACCCGCGGTGGGTAGGGGTACCGTAGAGCCCGGGTCGGGTAAGGGCAGTCTTTTCGCTACGCGCAGCCAAGCCCGACCCGTGCCCAGAAAGCCGTAACCTGTCCAAGGGCATGGAGAGTTGCAAGTATCCGAGTGCATGACACTCGCCACTTCCTTTGCGAAGTATGAGGACGTACCAACTCCGTCGCAGAACCAGCGGTGAGGCAGCTATGACTTTCACTTTCTCCCATGGGAGCACCATCTGGCAGACATCTCGCTGCTAGCTACACAGAACGAGATGGGATGGTGCGTCTGGAGAGCATCGGAGGAGTAGGTGGTGCTCTCCTTAGTGGTATACTGGACTCGCCATTCCGAGCACAGTTCGGCACACGATATCGCCACACACATTATGGTAGTCTGGCACTGATATCGTGCTACAAACGCGTTGCACACTGCTTATTGCCGCCCGTCCGTCCATCGTTCCTCTAACGCGCTGACGATCTATCCTCAGATTATACACATCCCGTCTTTGGACGCGTACGTCCCCACTCACCCGGCAGAGACCATGCATCGCGCTGACCGCTTACAACTCCAGTACTCGCAATTGACGAGCACATCGCGCCATTCGGTAAGGAGGCCCGTCGATGGAGCCGACAGAAGGTGACCGTGCATGCGTGCGCGTCGCGCTGGATTATGCGCAAGATCGCGCCTTGGCTTGTGGTGAGTGCGAATTTACGCGGACAGGGCGGAATGCGATGCTCAAATATAGCAGAGCGCGTTTGTCTTCATGGGATATGGTACGAGACCTCCGCTTGTGTGAGTTGTCTGGAATTCTGACCGCCAATCCTTTTTGCCTCGACGCAGCAATCGCAATAGGTGCGTGCTCTGATCGCGCTGATGAGCGATGTCGCCTCACTCAATTGTTCCAGCGATGTGTTATGAGACGTGAGCGAAATAGCGTCGGCTATCCCGCCGTCATACTCATCAGCCATTCCCTCACTACAGCATCAAGCTCGAGACCTTCGACGACCTGCTT